CCCATTTCCATACACATACCACAGACACTTCGAGGTACTTTCGTACCTTGTTCACCAGATAAGTAATGATTAATTATTTAGGGTCCACTCAAAGTCATCTCTCTGTGACTTTTCCTGATTTTCCCCAGGAAAAATGGATAATAATTTGTAAATTGGATTGTGATCCTACCTAGACTGTTTAATATCTGTAACTGAGTTACCAGACTGTAGTACTTTAAAAATATACATTTACATGCCCTTACTCCTGGTACTGACAATGTTTTGTTCATATTTTTATTATTTACATTTTATTTTTATTCATAAATACAAGAGGTGCTCTCTCACTCATCTATCATTATTTTACTCCCTCCAAACTTGCTATGCTCCCAAAGTTAAAGAAAAAAAAAAAAAAGAAACATGTATAAGTAATAACCACTGGTAATGCAGGGTATTGTGAGAACAAAATAAACCTGGGGGGTAGAAGGAAGGGGCCACAGCTTAGGTGTATGCCCTCAAATCCTAACCTGGATTAAGGAAGCCTGTCCTGTATCAAAAGTAGTTTCAAGTATCCACGGCTTAAAAATGCCTGATGGCTACAGGACTATTTCAAGATCATGAGGAGGAGGAGGAGGGGTATTTTAAGAATATGTACAAAATACTAACGCCCCCCACTTATCATCTAATACCTTTCCTTCAGCATATATTTACTGAGAGCCTAGTGCATTCCAGTCACTGTTCTGAGCAATGGGGATGAATAAGTGAACAAGACAAAGTCTCTGCTTTCATGGATCTTATAGTTTAATACAGCAGGCACAAATATATAATGTAATGTTAAGTAGTGATAAAAACTATATAGAAAAATACAGTAGAATATTGTTACTACTTCAGTGAGAATGATTAGAAGGCCTTCTAAAAAAGGTAACATTTCACTAAGCACTACGGAAATGAAGAAGGTGTGGAGTCATCCAAGTATCAGCAGGAAGGGCCTCAGAGGTAGGAGAGAGCAAAAGGGAAGAAAAAAAGATTGGACTGTGCTTGGTATATTTCAGAAATAATGTGGCTGTGACACAGTAATTAAAAGAGAGTGGTAGGAAATAAAATCTTAACTCATATTAGGTAAAATAACAGGATTAGATGAAAAAGTGTAATTTTTACAGGTAATTTTCAGTCTCCATCCTATAAGCTGGTTTAGATCCTAATACTCTACCATAAATAAGCAAATACAGCATTATCCCACAATGGCAGAATAAGGAGTTACCATATGATGATTAAGGAAGAAAGGTCAACATTATCTACAACCTATGACTCCCCAAGCACTGTATGGTCTGATCTTAAATCCAGCTTCAGTAGCTTGTCCTCTCCAGAAGCCCAAGACCAACACTCAATTCAGTAACTCCCTGTGGATTCAATGTTGCCTTTAGTCTACTCCAACATGCTAGTTTGGACCTTTGATTCTTATCTGAATATTTAAAGGCATGCCCAATGGCTTACACTGGTTACTTCATACTTACTCCGATGTACAAAATAACCATTTTTTTCAATTACCTAAACTAAAATTCCTATTATTCATTTAATCTCATTTCCACACATTGGATCTAGTTGTGAAACCTTGTCCTTTCTTACTTTGAAGTATCTCAAATCTTTTTCTTCTCCATTTCTACTGCCATAATTAACTTTGGATTCTAAATTATTTGTCTCGCTTTGAACCTTACCTTGTAACACCGTACAGTACTCATGACTGCTGGATTAATTTTTTAAAGCAACTTCCACCATTTCACCCTTCTATCTGAGAAGTCTTTAATGGATCCCTAGTACATACAATATAATGTCTAAACTTAATTTAATTTTTATATTTCCCAGTGTCATCTGGGATTTCTAAATTTTTAGAAATTTTCTAAATTTCATTTTTAAGAGAAATTTATGTACACAAAAAAGTCCTAAGGAGTGAAGTCTCCTCAAATAGAGAAAAAAGGTATCTTCTGTATACAATGTATACTATTGTATCAGTTTTAAATCCTTGTAAAGAAATATCTCTTCAATTCACAAGGCTTTAGTCTCACCCTATTATAACTGCTTAAATGGAATGCCAGATGATTAGAAGACTTGGTGAGGAATTTCACATTACTAACATTAGTAACTAAAACATTCAGTTGAGTTTTCATTTACAAAGTGCTTTTATTCTATAGATGAAAAAATTGGGGAGCTCCAATTTTAAGTGACTTGTCCAATGTCCCATTTAACTAAAAAGAAGAGAGTTCTAAGGACTTAAAATCCCATGGCTCTCTACTCCCTGGCCTCTACACTTCCTACACCCTAACCTTATTTGTCCTAACTACATAAGAAGAATATTAATACATTCATTGTTAAAATATTAAAGTACCTGGATGGTCAGATATTAGCTACAACACATTATGCAAACAATTATCTGCTGGAGGTATGAACACGGGAATATCACTCCTATGCTTAAAATCTTTCAGTGTAAATTCACTTACACTCAAGGAAGTCAAGTGACAGCAAAATCTGAAAGTGATCTGATCTTCATTTGTTCATACAAGTTGTCTTCAGAAACCTTGAATAAAGTCTACTGTATAGTAGGTGATCAATTAATTTTTTTGTAGTATCACTGTAACAAATGCATAAGTCTGATAAATAACAGCCTCAAAGTCTATCATAGGAATGAATCACCTAGTTCCTCCTGCAGTAGCAACCATTCTGATCTAAGGATGACCTAAATTTTGATTTCAAACTCCATCATTGTGCCATATTCCAAGAACTCACTCAAAACTGAAGCAGCTATGGATGGATACTCAGTTGGAAGTAAATGGTGCCTATGGCAGACCGAAAGCTGTATCTGAAAGGGCATGGTGGAGAACAATGCATCAGTCTGTATGCCATCAATAATAAAAACTAGAGTTTCTTCTGCCTTTCATCTTTCAGCATACCTCTTGATGCTACATCAATTTCCAACACTGTAACTCACCTGTTTTCTCGGTTATATCTGAATCAGGTGTGCCTGCCCTGCTAACCTCCCCTTCAGCATTCTCTTCTTCAGCACTAAGAGAAATTGGTGAGGAAGGGCCAGGCTGGGAAGGTTGAGGGGTTGCTTCAGGCACTTCCTCAATCTTACTCCTTTTCTCAAAGCGAAATCGGTCCAGATTGAAAAGATTCATATTGGCAGACACCACCAACGCGTGGGGTTGAGAGCTTAAAATATCTCTTCAATTCACAAGGCTTTAGTCTCACCCTATTATAACTGCTTAAATGGAATGCCAGATGATTAGAAGACTTGGTGAGGAATTTCACATTACTAACATTAGTAACTAAAACATTCAGTTGAGTTCTCATTTACAAAGTGCTTTTATTCTATAGATGAAAAAATTGGGGAGCTCCAATTTTAAGTGACTTGTCCAATGTCCCATTTAACTAAAAAGAAGAGAGTTCTAAGGACTTAAAATCCCATGGCTCTCTACTCCCTGGCCTCTACACTTCCTACACCCTAACCTTATTTGTCCTAACTACATAAGAAGAATATTAATACATTCATTGTTAAAATATTAAAGTACCTGGATGGTCAGATATTAGCTACAACACATTATGCAAACAATTATCTGCTGGAGGTATGAACACGGGAATATCACTCCTATGCTTAAAATCTTTCAGTGTAAATTCACTTACACTCAAGGAAGTCAAGTGACAGCAAAATCTGAAAGTGATCTGATCTTCATTTGTTCATACAAGTTGTCTTCAGAAACCTTGAATAAAGTCTACTGTATAGTAGGTGATCAATTAATTTTTTTGTAGTATCACTGTAACAAATGCATAAGTCTGATAAATAACAGCCTCAAAGTCTATCATAGGAATGAATCACCTAGTTCCTCCTGCAGTAGCAACCATTCTGATCTAAGGATGACCTAAATTTTGATTTCAAACTCCATCATTGTGCCATATTCCAAGAACTCACTCAAAACTGAAGCAGCTATGGATGGATACTCAGTTGGAAGTAAATGGTGCCTATGGCAGACCGAAAGCTGTATCTGAAAGGGCATGGTGGAGAACAATGCATCAGTCTGTATGCCATCAATAATAAAAACTAGAGTTTCTTCTGCCTTTCATCTTTCAGCATACCTCTTGATGCTACATCAATTTCCAACACTGTAACTCACCTGTTTTCTCGGTTATATCTGAATCAGGTGTGCCTGCCCTGCTAACCTCCCCTTCAGCATTCTCTTCTTCAGCACTAAGAGAAATTGGTGAGGAAGGGCCAGGCTGGGAAGGTTGAGGGGTTGCTTCAGGCACTTCCTCAATCTTACTCCTTTTCTCAAAGCGAAATCGGTCCAGATTGAAAAGATTCATATTGGCAGACACCACCAACGCGTGGGGTTGAGAGCTTTAAATGCCCTATCTGCAGGAAGAAAATAAAAAGAGAAAAAGAGGCCATGAAAACAACGTAAGATACAAAGCCACAGCACTTCATTCCCAAGGCAATTAAGAGCACGCAAACATGCCACTGGCTCGGGATGACTATTATGGCTGCGCCTCATTGTTACGCCACAGTGATCAGAAGGTGGTCAGGGATACCCTTCTAAAATTTTCCGCCGCTCTTCCGACTCCCTTCGTCTCCCCCCATCCCGCCCCGCCCCTCCCTCCTCGAACCACAAGCTGACCCTCGTGCAACCTCCTCTTACCCCAGCACGCGCAGGCACGTTCCCCACTCTAACCCCCCTGGGGGCCGCGCGCCCGCCCACAGGGAGAGACTGCCTGCACTACGGGGCTCCCAGCCTCGGGAAAGGACGTGCCAGGGCCCGCTCGTCGACACGGCAGGGACACAAAGGGGCCAAACGGAGGGGAGCGGCGGAGGCCGTGCTAGCGGGCACCCGCCCGGAAGTTGACGCGGCGCGAACCCAGCTGAGAGGAAGCTGATAGGATCAAGAAAGGGAAGGTTCCGAGGTGGAAAGCGTGCAGCGGCATATCTTTAAATGCTCATTTGCTAGCGCTCATTCTTTCGTCCCTCAGTACTTACAGCCTTGCAACCTCGGTGCGATATAGTAAAGGTTGAAAGAAAAAATAATTCCTGGCGTGCGGCGACGGTAGCCGGGCCGGGACCTTCCAAACAGAGCGTAGAAACCCAAGGAGCGCGTAATGATGACGCAAGACGCAGCCAGAATATTTTTTCTTCCCCAGCGACGCGGGAGCGGAAAATGTCTAGGCTCGCGCTGTTGTCATGGTAACCGTATTTCTCTTTACTCTATTTTAATATTAGACAAAACAGGAAATTTTCTGAGTTGTAAACTGATCCTCTAGTTGGCATTTCCTTTAAAGAGGAATTACTATAAATCATTATTCTACCAAATAGATTGGTCATTATAAACTTAAATTGACATTCTGTTTTACAAATCAGTGGTCCCAATTTCGTAATTATAACAGGAACCTAGTTTTATTAAATGTGGGCACATATAAAATCAAATATCTGGACCCATAAAATTCACTAGCAATGCCCAAACAATTGGGATTTCCATTATATCTGTCTTTGAAATCACATGAAATGCTTTTATGCACGCATTTTAAATAAGGTGGTTAAGGTTATAATATGAACGTATAAAACAGTAAATTACTTTTTAGTGATAAATATTTGCTTTAATATTTACTCTCAGCAACTTTCAAACATGTAATACAGTATTATTAACTATAGTGGCCATGCTGTACATGTAATTTTAAAAAAAGAATGTTTGCTTTATATTCTGACCAACATTGAAAATGGATTCCACTAACTGAATAACTTTGGACAAATGATATATACCTTCCCTAATCCTTAGGTTCCTCATCTTTTAAATGTACTTGGCAATACTCTTGACCTCTCAGGGAAATCTTCTTCAACAGTCCTAACGCAGAAGTGAAAATGGAGACCAACATCGTATTTCCAAATATTTAAGCATCATAAATATAATTAACAAAATGTAAATATAGAATATGTTCAGTCGTTCTATTTATAAAATGACTTAGCCAGGTTGAATCTACAATTCCTATGTGTCAGACAGAATGTGGGTGATTCAAGAAGAATTGGTTGGCATATGTATCCTGCCTACATAGTGTCACCTCCTCCCATTCAGTTTCATACCATTCGGGGTTTTGCGTTCATGCATAATGCACATCCAGCTGAAATGTCAACTCTGGCTTCACCCAGGGTTGCCAGATTTGTTAAAAGAAAAAATGTAGGCTGCTTTGTTAAATTAGAATTTTAGGTAAAGTATGAATAATATTTTAGTACACGTATGCCCCATGCAATATTTAGAACTTACTTACAGTAATTATTTATTGCCTGTCTAAATTCAAACTTAACAAGGTATCCTGTATTTGATTTGGATAAACCTACCCCTGCTGCACTCCTTCACCTCTTGGGCCTAGAAGACTTTTTTTTAAGGTATCATTGATATACACACTTATGAAGGTTCATATGAAAAACAATGTGGTTACTATATTCGACCATATTATCAAGTCACACCTCCCCCATTGCAGTCACTGTCCATCAGTGTAGTAAGATGCCGTAGAGTCACTGTCTTCTCTGTGCTAAACAATCTTCCCCATGACCTACCCCACAGCATGTGTACTAATCATAATACTCCTCACTCCCCTTCTCCCTCCCTTCCCAGAACCCTTCCCACCCCTCTCCTTTAAAGGTAACCTGCAGTCCCTTCTTGGAATCTGAGTCGGCTTCTGTTTTCGTTCCTTCAGTTTTGCTTCGTCGTTATACTCCACAAATGAGGGAAATCATTTGGCACTTGTCTTTCTCTGCCTGACTTATTTCACTGAGCATAATACCCGCTCCGTCCATGTTGTTGCAAATGGTAGGATTTGTTTCTTTCTTATGGCTGAATAGTATTCCATTGTGTATATGTACCACTTCTTCTGTATCCATTCATATACTGATGGACACTTAGGTTGCTTCCATTTCTTGGCTATTGTAAATACTGCTGCAGTAAACATAGGGGTGCATATGTCTTTTTGAATCTGAGAACCTGCTTTCTTTGGCTAAATTCCTAGGAGTGGAATTCCTGGGTCAAATGCTATTTCTATTTTTAGTTTTTTGAGGAACCTCCATGATGCTTTCCACAATGGTTAAACTAATTTACATTCCCACCAGCAGTGTAGCTGCACCACATCCTCGCCAACGTTTGTTGTTGTTTGTCTTTTGGATGGTGGCCATCCTAACTGGTATGAGGTGATATCTCATTGTGATTTTAATTTGCATTTCTCTGATGATTAGTGTTGTGGAGCATTTTTTCACGTTCCTGTTGGCCATCTGAATTTCTTCTTTGGAGAAGTGTCTGTTCTGATCCTCTGCCCATTTTTTAATTGGATTATTTGCTTTTTCTTTGTTGAGATGCATTAGGTCTTTATGTATTTTGATTGTCAACCCCTTATTGGATATATCATTTATAAATATATTCTTCCATACTGTAGGATGTCTTTTTCTTCTATTGGTGTTGTCCTTTGCTGTACAGAAGCTTTTTAGTTTGATGTAGTCCCACTTGTTCATTTTTACTTTTGTTTCCCTTGACTGGGAAGATAACTTTCATGAAGAAGTTATCCATATTTTTGTCCAAGAGATTTTTGCCTATGTTTTCTTCTAAGAGTTTTATAGTTTCATGACTTATATTCAGGTCTTTGATCCATTCTGAGTTTACTTTTGTGTATGGGGTTAGACAATAATCCAGTTTCATTCTCTTACATGTAGCTGTCCAGTTTTGCCAACACCAGCTGTTGAAGAGGCTGTCATTTCCCCATTGTATATCCATGGCTCCTTTATCGTATATCAATTGACCATATATGCTTGGATTAATATCTGGACTCTCTATTCTGTTCCACTGGTCTATGGGTCTGTTCTTGTGCAAGTACCAAATTGTCTGGATTACTGTAGCTTTATAGTAGAGCTTGAAGTTGGAAAGTGATATCCCCCGTGCTTTATTCTTCCTTCTCAGGATTGCTTTGGTTATTCAGGGTCTTTTTTGGTTCCATATGAATTTTAGAACTATTTGTTCCAGTTCATTGAAGAATGCTGTTGGTATTTTGATAGAGATTGCATTGAGTCTGAAGATTGCTATAGGCAGGATGTCCATTTTGATAATATTAATTGTCCATTTCTTGTAAGTTATCTAGTTTGTTAGCATATAATATTTTCATATTATTCTCTAATAATTCTTTGTATTTCTGTGAGTGTGTTGTGATTTTTCCTTTCTCATATATGATTCTGTTTATGTGTATAGATACGTTTTTTTCTCTTAATAAGTTTGGCTAGTGGTTTATGTATTTTGTTTATTTTCTCAAAGAACCAGCTCTTGGTTTCACTGATTTTTTCTGTTGTTTTATTCTTCTCAATTTTATTTATTTCTTCTCTGATCTTTATTGTGTCCCTCCTTCTGGTGACTTTGGGCCTCATTTGTTCTTCTTTTTCCAGTCTCAATAATTGTGTCTTTAGACTATTTATTTGGGATTGTTCTTCCTTCTTCAAATAGGCCTGGATTACTATAGTTTCCTCTTAGAACTGATTTCACTGCGTCCCACAGAAGTTGCAGCATTGTGGTGTTGTTTTCATTTGTCTCCATATATTACTTGATTTCTGTTTTAATTTGGTCATTAACCCATTTATTTTTTTTTTTACGAGCATGTTGTTAAGCCTCCAGGTGTTTATGAGCCTTTTAGTTTTCTTTGAACAGTTTATTTCTAGTTTTATACCTTTGTGTTCTGAGAAGTTGGTTAGTAGAGTTTCTATCTTTTGGAATTTACTGAGGCTCTTTTTGTGGCCTAGTATGTGGTCTATTCTGGAATATGTTTCATGTGCACTTGAGAATGTGTATCCTGCTGCTTTGGGTGTAGAGTTCTAGAGATGTCTGTTAGGTCCATCTGTTCTAGAGTGTTGTTCAGTGCCTTTGTGTCCTTACTTATTTTCTGTTTGGTTTATCTATCCTTTGGAGTGAGTGGTGTGTTGAAGTGTCCTAAAATGAATGCATTGCATTCTATTTCCTCCTTTAATTCTGTTAGCATTTGTTTCACATATGTCGATGCTCCTGTGTTGGGTGCACAGATATTTATAATGGTTATATCCTCTTGTTGGACTGACCCCTTTATTGTTATGTAATATCCTTCTTTATCTCTTGTTCCTTTCTTTGTTTGAAGTCTATTTTGTCTTATACAAGTACTGCAATACCTGCTTTTTTCTCCCTATTGTTCGCATGAAATATCTTTTTCCATCCCTTGACTTTTAATCTGTGTATGTCTTTGGGTTTGATGTGAGTCTCTTGTAGGCAGCATATATATGGGTCTTGCCTCTTTATCCATTCTATTTCTCTGTGTCTTCTGATTGGTGCATTCAGTCTATTTACATTTAGGGTGATTATCCAAAGACATGTACTTATTTCCATTGCAGGCTCTGGATTCATGGTTACCAAAGGTTCAAGGGTAGCTTCTTTACTATCTAACCATCTAACTTAACTCACTTATTAAACTATTATAAACACAGTTTGATGATTCTTTGTTTCTCTCCCTTCTTTTCCTTCCCCCTGCACACTTTATATGTTAGGTGTTTTATTCTGTACCCTTTTGTTTCCCTTGACTGATTTTGGGGATAGCTAATTTTATTTTGCATTTAGTTAGTATTTGTTTGGTCTGCTTTCTTTGCTATGGTTTTTATTCTCTGGTGCAATCTGTTTAGCCTTAGGAGCACTTCCATCTAAGCAGTCCCTTTAAAATACACTGCAGCGATGCTTTGTGGGAGGTAAAGTCCCTCAACTTTTGCTTATCTGGGAATTGTTTAATCCCTCCTTCAAATTTAAATGATAATCTTGCTGGATACAGTATTCTTGGTTCCATGCCCTTCTGTTTCTTGCATTGACTATATCATGCCATTCTCTTCTGGCCTGTTATGTTTCTGCTGAAAAGTCAGATGATAGCCTGATGAGTTATCCTTTGTAGGTGATCTTTTTTCTCTCTCTGCCTGCTTTTAATACTCTGTCCTTGTTTTTGATCTTTGCCATTTTAATTATCGTATGTCTTAGTGTTGTCCTCCTTGGTTCTCTTGTGTTGGGAGATCTGTGGGCGTCCATGGTCTGAAAGATTATTTCCTTCCCCAGATTGGGGAGATTTTCAGCAATTATTTCTTCAAAGAGACTTTCTATCCCTTTTCTCTCTCTCTTCTTCTTGTCATACCCCTATAATGTGAATATTGTTCTGTTTGGATTGGTCACACAGTTCTCTTAATATTATTTCATTCCTAGGGATCCTTTTATCTCTCTCTGCCTCACCTTCTCTGTATTCCTGTTCTCAGATTTCTATTCCATTAACAGTTTCTTGCACCTCATCCAGTCTGCTCTTAAATCCTTCCATTGTTTGTTTCATTTCTGTTATCTCCCTCCAGAATTCATCCCTTAGCTCTTGCATATTTCTCCCTAGCTCCATTACATGCTTATGACTTTTATTATGAATTCTTTTTCAGGAAGATTGGTGATTTTGGTCTCACCAGGCCCTCTCTCTGGTGTTTGAGGGATTTTGGACTGAACAAGGTTATTCTGCCTTTTCATGGCAATAGAAGTGATCTCCGGTGAGTGGCACCTGTGTCAGCTGAGAGAACAAAGTCCCTTCCTGCATGCTGGTCACCTTGAGGTCTCTACTGCCTGTGCCAGCCATTGGCACAAAGGGAGCAACTTCTGGGGTAATCCACCGAGCTACCCTGGGTGTAGCGGCACTCAGGATGGCTTTGGGTACCCGTGAGGGTCGCAGGCGAGTGGCGTGTGTTCTTCCACAAGCATGGCACCCCTTTGTGCTTTCTGGTCTCTGTGCCGGTGTCTGCTGCCTGTGCCAAGCAAATGCACAGAGAGAGCAGCCTCTCAGTTGATCCCCTGAGCTGCTGTGGGCAGGGCAGCCCTTGGGCTGGCATAGGGCACTGGTGGTGGTTACAGGCGAGGAGCACATGTTCTCTGTGAGAACAGAGCCCCTACGTGCCTCCCGGACTCCATGCAGGTTTCCTCTGCCTCTGCTGGTCAGCCACACGCAGAGGGAAGCCTCTGGGTTATTACCCTGAGCTGCCATGGGTGGGGTGGCCCTCAGGTTGGCAGGGTTTGGAGTCAAGCAGCGCATGTTTGCCGTGTGAATAAAGACTCTTTGTGCCTTCCGGACTCTGCACCAGTCTCTGCTGTTTGTGCTGGTCAACTGCAAGCAGAGGGATGTCTCTGAGTCTGGCCTGGTTAGCCACATGCTAGGAGAAACCTCTGTGTGTTTGCTGTGGGCCGGGCTGCTCCCCAGCTGCTCCGTAGCAATGGCGGGTCAGCCAGTTCACTTGCAGTCCCAGAAGTGGGGAATGAATGGCAGGCTGCTTATCTCCATGAGGGGCTTCAGAGCTGTGTTGCTCCCCAGGGGCTTAGGGCACCTGAAGTTCCTTAAAGTCCCCAGCCTGCTGGGCTGATTGTGCCAGGATGATTTTGTACACCTGTTAAACCCTTGTCCCCTTAAGACTTTTAAAGTGCCTGCTTTTCTTTTGTCCCAGAGCAGCTGACTGTGGGAACCTGTTTGCAGTCTTAGCGTTGAATTCTGCTTTTCCATTCCTCTAATGTCCAGTACACCTTGCAATGTGTATCTATGCTCCCAGTGCAGATTACTAGGGCTGGTTATTTCACAGTCCTGTGCTTCCATTCCCTCCCCACTCTTATTCTTTTCCTCCTACTGGTGAGCTGGGGTGGGGGGAGTGCTCAGTTCCTGCTGGGTCGCAGCTTTGTATCTTACCCTTTTCATGAGATGTTGAGTTCTCGCAGATGTAGATGATGTAGCCTTGCTGGTGTACTGTATCTTCTGGTCAGTCTTTTAGGAATAGTTGTATTTGCTGTATTTTCAAAATATATATGGTTTTGGGAGGAGAGTTCTGCCAACCTACTCACATTGCCATCTTGAGAATCCCCTAGTTGTGTGTTTTTTATCCATTCAGTGACTCTGTGTCTTTTGATTGGTGCATTCAGATCATTTACATTTAGGGTGATTATTGATGGGTATGTTCTTACTGCCATTGTGGGCTTTAATGCGTGATTACCAAAAGTTCAAGGGTAACTTCCTTACTATCTAACAGTCTAACTCACTTAGTATGCTATTACAAACATAATCTAAAGGTTCTTTTTTTCTTCCTCGTTTTTCTTCATCCTCCATTCTTTACATATTAAGTATCACGTTCTGTACTCTGTCTATCCCTTGACTGACTTTGGGGGTAGTTGATTTGCTTTTGCATCTGTTTTGTAATTAATTGTTCTACTTTCTTTGCTGTGCTTTTTTTTCCTCTGATGACAGCTATTTAGCCTTAGGAACACTTCCATCTATGGCAGTGCCTCTAAAATACACTGTAGAGATGCTTTGTGGGAGGTAAATTCTCTCAGCTTTTGCTAATCTTGAAATTGTTTAATCCCTCCTTCAAATTTAAATGATAATCTTGCCAAGTAGAGTATTCTTTCTTAGAGGCCCTTCTGTTTCATTGCATTAAATATATCATGCCACTCCCTTCTGCCTGTAAGGTTTCTGCTGAGAAGTCTGATGATAGCCTGGTGGGTTTTCCTTTGTATGTGATCTTTTTTCTCTCTCTAGCTGCTTTTAAAAGTCTGTCCTTATCCTTGATCTTTGCCATTTTAATTATTTTTATGTCCTCCTTGGGTCCCTTGTATTGGGAGATCTGTGTACCTCCATAGCCTAAGAGACTATCTCCTTCCCCAGGTTGGGGAAGTTTTCAGCAATTACCTCTTCAAAGAGACTTTCTATCCCTTTCTCTCCCTCTTCTTCTGGTATTCCTATAATGAGAATATTGTTCCTTTTGGATTGGTCACCCAGTTCTCTCAGTATTCTTTCATTCCTAGAGATCCCTTTTTCTCTCTGTGCCTCAGCTTCTTTTATTTCTCTTCTCTCATTTCTATTCCATTTATTGTCTCTTCTACTACATCTAATCTGCCTTTAAATCTCTCTGTTGCATGTTTCATTTCAGATATGGAATTTCTTAATGATTGAATCTCCATTCTAAATTTGTCCCTGAGTTCTTGAATATTTTTCTGTACCTCCATGAGTATGTTTATGATTTTTATTTTTAAATCTCTTTCAGGAAGATTGATGAGTTCAGTTTCACTTGGGCCTCAGAGCCTTTTTGCTACATGTTGGGTCTAAAGATATACACAGATACTGAAAGCACTGTCCTCAGCAGGAAGGACCTGGGGAAAAGTCACTGTTAGCCTTCTTAGAATTGTGTGAACAAAGAATTTCAAGAACCACTTGCATTTTCTAAAAGTCAAGCACAGGTTCTGCATGAAAATGCTTCTTTGCCCCACATATTCCTAGGCTTTTTGGGTTTGGCGTAGCTGGAAAAGAACCAGATTCCTAGATGCAATATAGGAACCACTCTTGTCAAATTCTAAGGGTGGGTGTTTCTGTAGCATTCATTGAGGTAGGAGAATTAGAATGATCCCTGATTGGTATTTTGCTTGGTGGTAGATCAAAAAGTCAGGGAATGTATACAAAGTAGCACAGATTCAATGCTTACACAACTGAAATTTATTTTCTTGCAGCACTGAAGGCTGAAGTCTGATATCAAGATTTTGGCAGTGTTGTCATCTGAGGACCATGATAGAAGGATCAGTTCCAAGCCTTTCTTCTTAGTTTATAGATGGTCATCTTCTCCCTGTGTCTTTACCTATTTTCCTTACTTATCTCTGATCAAGTTTCCTCTTCTTAGGAGGGCATCAGTCATATTGGATTACAGCCAACCCTAATGACTATATTTTAACTTAATTACCTCTCTAAAGGCTCTGTCTCCAAGTGCAGTCACATTCTAATACACTGGAGTTTAGGACTTCAACCTATCAGTTGAGGGTAGGAGCGTAATTCTGCCCATAACAGGGGGCAAGAGAGTAGAAGGATTCTCTACTGAACCCTGAAACCTTCTAGAATGGCAGCAGTTGTTAGAGCTGAAAACCAGTCCTCTAATTTTTCTTCCTTCTGACTGTAAATATGATCATTCTTCAAAGCAGTCCTTGGTCTTCTGCTTGTCTCACTCAAGTGTTTCCCAGAATAGACCAGTTATAGTGGTGCCTAAATATGTTTTTCAAATCTTACTCAGCTATAGACTTAAGAGAGGTTAATCTTACTGTTTATAAACCTAAAACATTTTTTAAAAAGTGACTATAAACATCTAAATTATTGATATGGAAGAAAAGTTTGAAACCACCTCTCCTCCTAGAATGCAGAAGAAAAAGACGAGATTTAAAGAAATGATAAATATAGGAGTTAGAGGGCTGAAGAACAACCTTTAATTATTATAATCAAACTATACACACACACAAAAAAAACAGAATAAATAATAAATATACATGAATTCTCAGTCTGCAAGTGAAAGCTAACTAGACTTAAGGCAGAAGTGATTAAAAAAGACTATACATTAAAAAATTTCCTAGATAATTTTTTTAATTTCAAGAATTTACAAATTTAAAAAGGGACTAAAATCCTAAAATTCATATGGAACCACGAAAGACCTTGAATAGCCAAAACAATCCTGAGAAGGAAGAATAAAGCAGGGGGAATTACACTCCCCAACTTCAAGCTCTACTACAAAGCCACAGTAATCAAGACAATTTGGTACTGGCACAAGAACAGACCCATAGACCAATATAAACCCTGATATAAACCCAACCATATATGGTCAATTAATATACGAAAAAGGACCCATGGACATACAGTGGGGAAATGACAGCCTCGCCAACAGCTGGTGTTGACAAAACTGGACAGCTAAATGCAAGAGAATGAAAGTGGATTATGGTTTAACCCCATACACAAAACTAAACTCAAAATGGATTAAAGACTTCAATGTAAGTCGTGAAGCCATAAAACTCTTAGAAGACAACATAGGCAAACATCTCCTGAATATAAGCATGAGCAACTTCTTCCTGAACCCATCTCCTCGAGCAAGGGAATGGCATAGCTGACAAGGGGTTATCATCCAAAATATATAAAGAACTTACACCCAAATATATAAAGAACTCAGCACCCAAAGAGCCACAATAATAACCCGATTAACAAATGGGCAGAGGATGTGAAGAGATGGTTCTCCAAAAAAGAAATTCAGATGGCCAACAGACACATGAAAAGATGCTCCACATCACTAATCATCAGGGAAATGCAAATTAAAACCACAATGAGATATCACCTCACACCACTAAGGATGGCCAGCATCGAGAAGACTAAGAACAACAAATGTTGGCAAGGATGCAGAGAAAGGGGAACCCTCGTACACTGCTGGTGGGAATGTAAGCTAGTTAAACCATTGTGGAAGGCAATATGGAAGTTCCTCAAAATGCTCAAAATAGAAATACCATTTAACCCAGGAATCCCACTTCTAGGAATTTACCCTAAGAATGCAGCACTCCAGTTTGGAAAAGACAGATGCACCCCTATGTTTATCGCTGCACTATTTACAATAGCCAAGATATGGAGGCAACCTAAATGTCCATCAGTAGATGAATGGATAAAGAAGATGTACATATACACAATGGAATATTACTCAGCCATGAGAAAAAAACAGACCCTACCATTTGCAACAACATGGATGGAGCTAGATTGTATTATGGTTAGTGAAATAAGCCAGGCAGAGAAAGACAAGTACCAAATGTTTTCACTCATATGTGGAGTATAAGAACA